GAGGGCGTGCGGGGAAATTCATGATGATTGTTTGGCAGGGGTAATTTCCCAGACCCCTTTTCTCGGCAGGAGAGGCGAGGGGGCTGATTCCAGAATTTGGCAAAGGACAAGCTGACAAGCTGAATCAAAACGACAGCCGTCGTTGTGCTGTTACTACTGTCACAAAATTGCCACGTACCCTTGCGACGTTACTGCAACTATTCCTACGACTGCGACGCCCTGCGAGAGTTCTTGACACAGGACAGAGCCAATTGGACTGCTCTCTCAGAGGAGCCGTGTTTGTTTTCTGAAAGCCCAGCAGACGGTTACCCGTGTGGCGTCTGGCGGGTAGAGAGTTGACGCGACATCGCTGGGCAGCATGTTCAAGCGTTCTTGTGAATTCGGGAATGAAGGCTAAGGGGGAACTGTAACTCCACATGATGTGTGTCACGTGTCCGGGAGCGTGGCAAGCTGAGGGGAACGTATGCTAATTTACCCAAGGCGTGCCCCCGGCTGTGTCGTGGCAGGGTCCTCGAAAAGGGGAAATGGCTTGTACATGCATTCGGGTTGGCTTCAGGGACATTTGAGGTTTGTCATGACAAGAAGCCATTGCCGGCGTCTAGTGTGGAAGCAAACATGTTTTTCTGGTCACGCGGACCTGCGGCCAGGAGTACAGTCTGCATGAAGGCCCTCGATTCTGGTGAGGAGGAGGAAGAGGAGGCTGTACACACAGAACTTGCGTTTGGCTACGTCAAGCAAGTATATTGTCTTTCATGGCAGGAAGGGGCCATCATGATGGACAAATACTCCTTCAAGATGGCCTGCTCCAGCTGCTGATAAGCTACTCGAAGCTTCCATGTGTGATCTGTGCCCGGAAGGCAGCAGAGAAGAGCGAGACGAAGCGGTCTTCAGCACAGGCGCCTTTGCCAGCGATGTTCGGCAAGATGTTTGCGCTCTGCATCAGCGGTCCGTCTTTCTGCCTCCCGCAAGTGAGCAACATCATGGAAGCTTAGACTGAGGGAATCTGCTGTTCGATTGATGCCGACATGCCTGTAAGGAAAAGCGCTGATGATCCCCATCCGCTGTACGAGGACCGTGCAGCCAGACTGTGAAGGCGGTTTTGTCTTAGTACTGGTGCAATGCTCTGTCGGAGGCTATGGTTGACTTTCAGGGAGAGGTGCAATGGAGGAGGTCCTGGCTGTCAGGGTGCAGTTTTTTTGTGTGCCCTGTTGCAGGCCCTTCAGGAAACTCCGGCAGCGGCCCTGCAGGCCAATGAAGTCAGACGGCGAATTATACGCTTGGGGTGGTGTTGTTGCGGCGTTCCGCCCGAGCAACAAGGCAGCTCTGGATGAGGGAAGATCGACTCCCTCACCGCTCTTTCATGTGAGCAGCTGAGCTTCAGTACTCGGGCCATGCGTTGGGGTTGCAGCGAGCACTGCAAGCGATTTTGCAAGGCTGTGGGTCGTTTGAAGAGCCCTGGAGTCGTGGAGCTGGAATCGTAGTCCTGGACCGGAAGCATGAAGCTGTCTTGAGCCCTGAGAGACTCTGAGATTATTGCTGCAGAGCCAGGCGAATCTCAGGGCGCGCTTTAGTATGGGCAGCTGGGGTTGGGATGCCCGGTGCTAGCCCGGTGTAACGGCGTTGAGGAGTTGAGGAGTGTCACTATCTTTGCGAACGGCATGGCGGCCCTGGAAGCTGCGCTTGGCTGAGATGCCGTAGATCGTTCAAGCTGATTTTGATGACTGGCTGTGCCGCCTAGGTCCAGAAGCACCAGAGCACTGGCGTAACACTGGCCTGTGTCAGTATCCTGCCATCCTGCCTTATCATGAGTTTCTTGTCGCCTGTCGAGCTCTGACCTCTGACCAGCGATGTCTTTCCTTGTGCGACACCATTCGAAAATCGAAAAACGGGCCGTTTCTTGTCACCGCGCGTACTGTTTCGCACTGTTCCTGGGCCTGGTTGGAGGATGTGGGAGGCGGCTCCTGTTGTCCCAGCCGAATCGCAAAAAGCCAGTGCTTCGTGCTGATAAGCCCGTGTGTCTCTCGCAACTTCCGGAGGGATCGTGGCTTGGGTCAGCCGACGGACACATCGAACTTCGTTCCCCGACTCTCGCTCACATGACCAGTTCTTGCCAGCGCCAATGTAAGTTGCTTCAGCTTCCGGTCAGGATTTCCGGATGCAAGTCATCGGCGATCTTCTGCGGCAGTCGCAGGAGAGCGTCTGAGCCTGTCTGAGTCTCGCGCTGCTACTGGTGCTTAACCGCTAACCGCAGGAGGAGCTGGGCCAGGGCTCCGAGCAACTCCCGCAGAGGACCCAAAGTTCCCAAGCGAGCGGAGATGAGCGGAGAAGCTTCCGTCTTCGACTTCGCGTTGTTTGGAGGCCTCGCTTCCTTGAGCTTCGGCCACAGTGGCCAGCTCCACCTGCACAGCGCCCGGGATCCCGGCGCAAGACGGCACAGGATCGGCCTTCCAAAAAAGACGGGCCAAGAGGCGTTTTTGGAGCGAGCGTCTTCGAGCATCTTCGAGCCTTCGAGACGCTTCCACCGGAGCTGCTCCTGGGCCAGCGCTCCGGAGCCTCTCGGGCCCGGCGCCAGGAAGAGCGAGGGCCTTAGGCCCTAGCCTTCCGGGAGCTCCGCTGCTCTCCGCTGTTTCCCCGCGGTCTCGCCCATGCACACAGGTACGTCGTGCAGCAGTCCGTCGTCCAGCCCTTGGAGAGAAAACTCTGCGCTCCCCCCGCAGAAGAGCACAAATGCACTTGAACTGAGCCTGTTGGCTTCGCAGAGTCCCTCAACACGTCCTAGTCAGGCTCGGACGAAGGCGCAAGAGAGGGGTAGTTTGTCGTGCCCTGGAAGAAACGACAATATAGCCCCTGTCACGTCGCACTGTTCTTACCTGTGCGGCTTGTTTGGCAGTGCGACATGACTAATTTGCGTGCAGGCACAGACACATGCCGGTGGTTCGGAGGACCGCACCTAGCTCAACTCATGAAAATCATCATGTAGATGTAGAGATCTCAGAACGGTCATAACGTCTTAGGATCAAAGTCAAAAGTATTGAAGCAATGCGAAGATGTCATGAGAGATGAGCAAGGATGAGCTTGGCAGCTGCAGCCTTAGTTTCCGAGATCTCGTGATACAATGTGATACAACCCCTGCTCGATCACCGACTTGTTTCCGCACCTGCTGCCAAGAACCGGCGCCCCAGCGTAGTGCCCCCAGCTTTCGGCCATTTGCACTCGTGGACTGGTTGTCTCAGAAATCTTGCAGTTGGTGCGGCCCATCATCTTCTGCAAGCAGGTGGAAGGCTACCCTAGCCAGGACTGAGCATTCCTGACATGGAGTTCTTTCGTTCCTGGTTGGTGGCATGTCCATGCTGCGCAGATGTACGAGATGGGCAAGCAGATTGGCGCCGGCACGTTCGTCACAGTCTGGCAAGCCAAGCATGCGCAGAAGCTCGCTTAAAAAACGGTAGGATGGGCAATGCCTGCATGAGCGGTAGAGGCGCTTCCTTTTCAGAGCAGGCCCTCGAGCCCTAATGTGAACTCTTGATTAATAAACCCCGTTCTCTCCCCCCGCCCAGGCGCAAGGTAGGTCAGCACTCCTTCTAGGGTTTCGTAGGGCATGCAGGGCTTTAAGGTTGGGGCTGAGGGTTGAGGTTAGGGTTTTAGGGTTTAGGGTTAAGGGGGGTTTATAGAGTTGAGGGCTGAGTTTTAGTGTTGTTTTAGACTTTAGGGCCGAAGCCGTAAAACGTTTGAGGTAGGGGCTTAGGGCCGAAGCTTTCGCCCTAAACCCTCGACCCTAAACCCTCAACACTCAAACAAATGCAATAACAAAGCACGATTGTTCTGCGGCGGTCGGATTATTCATCAGCGGGGGTTGCCTTGCCTGGGCTAGGCCTTTGCCGGCTTTAAGAACTGAGTGTTTTACATGGGCCTTTGATTTAACACGTCTTCCTTCAACCCTCCTATACCACTTCTAAGTCTGCGGCCAAGTTGGTTTTCGGAGATGTTGGGGGCAGAAGGTTGCCATTAATCGGTGGGGTTTTGGCAAGGTTTATTTTTCCCGAGGGGGAAGGGGGGGGGGGGTTCTGGGGGGGAGAGGCCAGCGCTAAAGCCATGGTTTCAGCCAGGTCCGAGGCCCACGCGGGATGCCTTTAATCACGGGGGGGTTTCTTAATCAAGAGTTGACATTACACTCCACACCGCACTCTCAAAATCCTACAGTGCTCAATCCTGTTTGCGCTGCTTTCCCGGAGCCTCCAAGGAACTGAGAGCGCAGAAGCCTTCACCACCGACCTGAAAAAGGCCCTTCTTTGCACAACTCGACGTTCTTTATGGTCAACCTGTTGCAACCTTTCAGGAGAATGCCTGGTTTCGTTTCCGATCGTCCAAGGCTTCGCAGGCCGTGTATAGGCCCCCTTCCATGGCTGCAGGTGCATTCGCCGACGTGGCAGGTCAACGTTGGGCTCGTGCCTGAGATGTCCTGCATCGTGTTGGGTGGCTGGAAGGTGTGGCTGACGGTTTACGGTTGGTTGATGTGAGTCTCGAGCTGCAAAAGACACCCTTAGCGTTCAAACGCATCCGAAACGATTGTGGCGTCGATGACGATAGTGAAAGTGGCGACAGTGACAACGATGACGATGGGATGGCGACGGACGGCCGTAGTGCTCTTGTAGTTATCGGCCTACCGCTCTCAACTCACATTCCTCTGAAACCATCCTTTTCAATCCGAAACCATGCAACCCTTACTTTATTGCATCGTCTTGGACTGTTCCTTGCATATGTTTCTTGGGCCATCGCCGGAGTTTCTGATGCCCGGGCTCAGCTTTATCAGGTAGTGAACACATGTGAACAAGACTCCGAGAGCATGCGGGCATACGGACGTCTGCGCCTGCTTGCATATCCACCATGCCAAACCACTACATGCAGAGAACCAGCCCGAATGCAACGACACCAGCACTGCAGCATCTCAGTTCCATAGTGACTATAGTGATTCCATAGTTCACGCAGCGCGCGCTTCGGCCATGCAGCCTCAGAAGAGGCAGCGCTTGGACACAGGTTTAAGCCTTGCCCAAGTCATCCGCTGCTTTGGAAGCCCAGAGCCTCCATCGCAGGAGGGCTGTGATGCGACTCGGGTTGCGGAAGAAGAGCTGCAGACCAAGGAGGAGGATGTTAATACAGAAGAGGTGGTAAAAGAGGAGCTGCAACCTGAAGTTGAAGAGGAGAACGAAGATGCACAGGAGTATCTTAAGGAAGAGCTAGAATGGAAGGAGGAGGCGGAGGAGGAGGTCCTGATGCAAAAGGAGGAGGAGGTGGACATATATTCCCAGAGCACTGCTGCTGGAATATCGTGTGCATCGCACAGTTTATCACAGGAGTCCTGGCAACCGTTCTCGCAAGACTCGGATGCTACGGAGCATGGCTTGCAACTGGTGGATGCGCCAGGCATGCAGGAGCCCCGCGGAAGCTTCACAAATCTCAGGCAGGAAGAGAAGGATAGGTTTCTGACGGTATCAGAAGACCTCGAGAAAGAGATTGGCATGAAGCCTTTTTACACCTTCGATGCTCGGACATCCCGCGATGACTTGAAGAAACTGGTGCACACCTTTTTCTCCAGATACAGGCAGACAGAATCGGAGGACCATTACTACGAGACGGAGAGGTTCTTTCAGAACCATCAGTGGTGGTTTGCAACAACATTGATCACGCCTTCCTTCTACCAACGCAGTTTTCGTGGCGAGCCGATGCTGCACAGCAATATGGCCGAAACATCTGCTTGTAGGAAATTCCTGGAAGATACAGCCGCTCGGGAGGCTGCCAGAAACCTTCCGCCACCTTCGAGAGTACTGCGAAGATACATCACGGGGATGTTGAACAGAGATTGGAAGAATGACATGCTTCAGCGGGGCATTTGTCCCAAGCGGGTTCAGCAAGACGCTGTTCAAGCGCTCTCAGACAAGCTTAGGTCTATGGGCTGCAGGCTGGCACTGTGGGATGATAATGCCTGAATGCTGGGACAGCTCCAGCTCGCGCCGTGCAGTCGACTCACCCAACACTCGCTCACTCCTTCCTTGCCCGGAAAATGCTTGCAGTTGGCACTCGGGCCTCAGAGTCGCGGCAGTGTAGCGCGGAGTTTCCGCCATCTTTGATGTACGGGATCCTTCAGCAAGGAGCCAGTCCACTTGGCTTTCTCCTGGAATGAACCTCGGCGAGGTGCCGCAGTTGTCGTTTTCAGAGTGTTAGCTGCAGGGAACCTGGGTTTGGATTTCATTTTCGATGCTTGGTCTTCGTGCAGCGAAAACAGTCTCTTTTGCTGACAGGCTTTTCTTCATGCAAGATCTGCCGGGCAAACCCTCCAGAGCTTGACGCATAAGCAGTGACAGGCATCTTCCAAGCATTGCCGGTGCTTTTGTTTTGGTCTGCGTGGGAGAGACTGCGCATGGCGCCTCAGAGCCTCACAGGCTGACCTCGGGTGCGAAGAACACCCGCATCGTTCTGGACAAGGACGCCAATACTGTGTGCAATAGCCTGGGTCGCACGAACCCGGCCAACGTTTTCAAGAGCACAAGTTACAGTCGCATTCCAGGCATGATCTCCAAGCTTCAAAGGCCGGGTGAGCAGTTGCAGAGCTCGGCGCACTACGCCGTGTCCATCCTGACACAGGCTTTGAGCACATTGGAGAAGTGGGCCCCGCTCGGTACCCAGTATCAATTCGAAGGCTTGTTGCTGAGGTGTGCAAAAACCCTAAAGCCACACCTTGCGCGAGTGTGTGAGTCGAAAGCCATGTGGCTTTTGGTCCTTTTGGGGCTCTCCTCGCCGGCTCTTCTCAACGAGTGTTTCTGGTGTTCAAAGTGTTGGGGATGTAGTTATTGGGTTCAGGGTCTGTGGCTTGTTGCTAGGGGCTTATAGGCTTCACCGTAATCATGTTCAAGATCAAACTGTATAATGATGGCATGCTCATCGTGCCATGGTCCGTTTGGGGTGGGATGGGTTTTGCTGCGGACGTCCCGAAACCGCTGCCCCCAACCCTGTGCCGTTTCAGATCGATTTAGTCTTTCACACCCACCCCGCCGTGAAAGGGACAGTTTCATCTTTCAATCACCTCTCCGCCCCCAACCCCCGCCGCTGTGGCTTTCTGTTCGAACGAGTTTGCCTGCGGTGCGATTTAGTCAGCTGGGCGGGTGGGAAAAATCTGAAGCTTAGCCTTAGCCATAAACCCGAAAATCAAACCCGAAGCTATAAACCTGAATCCTGAGATGCGCCGACCAGGCAGTCTTCAACTTGTCCGAGGAGGGAGGACACGGTGGAGAGCATCGCAAGTGCCTGCTTGGAAAAGTGGGAATGCCAGCAACTCTACAACTGCAGCAGCCAGCAACTGCCAGCAGCGGTACATGCTTCGTTCTTGCAAGGGTCGGCGGGTTCCTGCAGCTTCGACTGGCTCGAACTGCACTCCATCTCCGTCAACCTTCCGAGCTCGAGATGCCGTACCTGCAGCAAGTGCTGAAGCGCATCCGCAAGGAGAGCTTGTGCGATGATGTTCACTGGTGTCACTAGGGTGCTTAGCAGGCTTATAACCTTGAAAGGTAGAAGTCTGAAATGTGAGAGGCGAAGTCCCTGGGTGCCGCGCACCTCGCCAAGCTGAACGAGGCGCTGCACCCGCAGAGTAGAGTGCAGCGTAGCGGGCGTAGAGCAGAGGCGGTCGTCCCAGCCAGGCGGTTTTCAACCTGTCAGAGGAGGTCGCAATGAACGGTCCTCTGGTCGTCAAGCTCCTCCAGGAGACCGCTGCACGCGGGCCCGAAAACACATGCTTCTACTCTCTCTCTCTCTCTCTCTCTCTCTCTCTCTCTCTTTCTTTCTCTCGCTTTCTCACACTCTCTCTCTCTCTGTCTGTCTCTCTTTCTCTCGCTTTGTCTTTCTCTCTTTTTCTCGCTGTCTCCGCTCTCTCTCTGTCTCTTTCTCTTTGTCTTTCTCTCTTTGTCTCTCACTCTCTCTCTTCCTTTTTCTCCCTCTCTCTCGCCTCTCTCTCTCTCACTCGCTCGCTCTCTCTCTGTCTCTCTCGCTGTCTCCGCTCTCTCGCTCGCTCTGTCTCTCTCTCTCTCTCTGTCTCTGTCTCTGTCTCTGTCTCTGTCTCTGTCTCTGTCTCGTCTTTGTCTCTCTCTCTCTCTCTCTCTCTCTCTCTCTCTCTCTCTCTCAGTACTGCACTTGCCGATGCCTTGTTGCTTCGCTCTCTTCCCCCCCTCTCACGCCGCCCCTCCGGCATCGCCAGATGTTCATTTTGAATAGTCTCTTGAATGATTCGACGGGTACCCGTGAAATGATGCTCGAACGGTCTGACAAAACCTGTCAATAATTCATCGTCGAGATCGTCTCAGCTCCTGGACCTGAGGATGCAGCCTGCATCATCAGCAGCCAACAAAATCAAGCTCGTCCCATGCATCTGCAGCAGGTTTAAGGAATTCTAACGAGTGACCTAAGGATGCAGCTTGCGTCATCAGGCTCGCTCCTCAACGCCCGTGAAACAACAATCTGAAACTTTTTACCGTTGAGCTCGTCTCAAGCAGCGGAGCCCACGGAAGGGTTTTGACGACCTTGAGGACGCATCATGTGTCATCAGGCTCACTGTTCAAGGAATTGCTGTCAAACTCGTCCCGCGACGCTGCGTCATCAGGCTCACTCCGTCAACCACTGAAACCATTTGCATGCAGTTCGCGGAGCGCATGGAACGTTTTGACTGGCCCGAGGTCGCAGCCTGCATCGGGAAACCTGAGAGAGCCCGTTCGTCCCATAGAGCGGGGCCGCTGGAACGATATGAGTGATCTGAGGCCGCAGCTTGCGTCATCAGGCTCACTGAACAAACTGATTCCATTTACCAACAAGCTTGTCCAATGCAGCAGGGCCAGTGCAACGATTTGGGTGACCAGAGGAGGCCACTAGCGGCAACTAGCGGCTAGCGCCGTCGGGGTCATTGGAGAACAGCAACCTTAAGCAATTGGACGTCAAGATCGTGAGGCACAAGGTTCCTTCACGGACAGGAAAAATTTCTCCATTGATTGTTGTGCCTACGTGATTGGGGTCCAGCCAAGTCATGACAGTGCGTGGAGACGTGGAGTGCACAAGTGAAGTCTGTGAGCGCCTGCGTGGGTGGGCATTGAGTAACTCGCCACATGATAGACGCCTGACAAGCACACTGCGTTCTTCTTCGTCTTCTCCTCCTTCTCTCCTTCTTCGGTGTTCGTTTGCTAGGCCGTGGAGAAGATCCACGGGGCTTACGACATGGGCAAGCCGCTTGGCTCAGCTATCGCATGGTTCTGGCAATTACTGCGCCAGCCCTTGCAGCTTCTGGCAGCGGCAGGTGTGACAACCAGGATTCGAGGTTCTTCCACGATTATTTGGCTCTGCTGGGCACACTGCAGCCTGTTCCTCGTGCCACAGTGAGAGCCAGATGGGAGAGCGACTTGCGACAGATAGTCGACTTCAGGAATCAGGTCTTCTTTAACCAGGAGCAGATTGAAAAGATATTAGGATGGATCAAGGAGGCTCGGATGCGACGGAAGGTGCATCCAAGCAGCACACAGTCATCCGGATATGCCAGGTGGTTGATGGAAGTGGGATGCTCGGGCAGTCGACAGACTCGAAGAGCCTCGAGGACGGTGTTATGCAGGCTTAGCAGGCCTCTTGACGTGCTTTGGGTGGAGGTCGAGAACCAGAGGCTCAGAAAGGAGCTCGCAAAGTTCCAGGCTGGCGCGGGGTTTGCAAGAAAACGCCGTGTTTGCAGAGGTTGGGTTGCCAAGGCTCGTGTGTCTTGTGCTCTTTGATTCGTATGCTGCCTCTTGTTGTCTCAGTGTCAGCAGCGAGCCTTCAGGAGACAGATCCAGACGAGGTCTATCCCCCACGGGGCGAGTTTGAGGAGCAGCCCCTTGTACTCAGCGCCCTGCGGTGTGAGCCGTCGTAAGCCGTGGTGACGAGTCCGTGGAACCCATCCCTGCAGGAGCTGAGGCTGGAAGGCTGTGTGAGACGGAAAGATGATGAGCACTGCGAGACGATCGCTTCCCTGCCCCCGAACACTTGCAAGGTTCTGCTCAGTTGCAGTGCTTCCGTTTACCTCAAGTCGCAGTCTGCAGGAGCAAAAGTTTCAGAAGCATCCGAGCCAAGTGGAAGCACCCTTGAACAGCATTCTGGACTGCTGGCAGGCGGTGCTGCGGAAGCATCCGGATAAGGGGCTTTACTTCCAAAGTCCTTGCAAGGTGAAAATCTCACCCGATCCGCACAATTTGCCAGTTTTGCTGAGTGGCAACCCGGCTGCATCAAAGCGCTGTGCACAGCTCCGAGCGGCACAGTAGCAGCTGCCAGATCTGTAGCTGTTTGAGGTTCCGTCGGTGACAGACTGGAGTCGGTTTTCAAACCGACGAACCACTTGCGCGCGAGTGATGGCAGCAGCGTTGCGCGGATGGGGCAATGGGCCGCTTCCTCAACCTTGGCATGCCCACAGTGTTTCATGCTTGTTCCGATTGAAGATGCCCGAGCACAAACACTTGGAGTGTTTGTGTCTCAGGCCAGAGATATCTCTGCTATGGCTCACTGGGCCCACACCAGGGGCATGTGGAGCCTGCCAGTTGCGCAATTGCCGAGATGCGTAGCACGATCTTTGCACACCGTTCCCAGCAGTGACCTGACTGCACTGCCCTCCTGCACCGTGCCAATAGCAATGAGCATATGCCTTCTCGACCCGCCAGGATGATCAAGTACGACCACGACTGCCAGGTAGGTCTTCGGACAATTGGTGCCAGTTTTGCGAGCACGTCGGATTCCAAAGAGTACTGGAGAGCGGTTGAGGACAAGCCATGGAGTCATGGCCTGTCGATCGCAGTGGTGGCTCAGGTCCGACAACCTTCACCTGGTGTCCGAGCTTGCGCGCCTGTTTTATTGGATCTGCCGTAAGTCTCCTGTCACTGAGCCGCAGTTTGGCCAGTCCGGGTAGGATTCACCGTGTAGGATGTATTTGTCGAAA